TCCCCTCTCAGCCTTCTCTTCTCCAGGCTGAACAAGCCCAGCTCCCTCAGCCTTTCCTCGTAGGAGATATGCTCCAGGCCCCTCATCATCCTTGTTGCCCTCCTCTGGACTCTCTCCAGGAGTTCCTCAACCTTCTGGAACCGGGGAGCCCAGAACTGGACACAGTGCTCCGCACGCTGATACTCGGTGAAGAACGAACAGATGCAGATCTAGCCTACGAGAGGCTCATACTTAACGCTTTAATATGGTGCCAATAACTCCATTCTCCCTGGATCCCTTCTCAAGACGTGACAAACAAGCCCGCTAGCAGGCTCAAGTTAAAAATAAGCTCCTACATAGGGGCCTACATGCATCTGAGGAAGATTCTTAGGGGTCTATCCACCAAAGAAAGTGTTGAGATCCATTGCTTTAAAGCATTAAGGCTCAGAAGAAGTAACTCTACCCTTCCATTTTACTGGAATGATGATAGTTTATAGAAAATGGCCCCAGAAAGCTTTCAAATTCTCGGTTCATCTTCTCTAGAAATACCTGCTTCCCAGACATCTTCAGGGTAGTCTCTGTCAACAGAAAGCCACCTACCAGCCCTGGCTGAAGACAAAAGACATAAAACAAAAGGAAAGGAGGGTATCCCCGGGATGTGCCAATGGGCACACCGCCCTTTATTTTGCATACTTACTTAAAATGCATCAATCGTGAGACATCAGAGACGTCCAAAGCCATTTTCAGCGTCCTTTCTAACAACTCCTTATCAAAGCCTCGATTTTCCAGTCGTCCTTTGTGCCTAAAGGACCATTACTAAACGCGTTTCACTCTCAGGGCTTTTTTCCTTCCCTCAGGCCACATCCCTATCCCCGGCAGAAACGCAGCCGCTTTTCTGTGGGACTTGAGGTTTCTCGGCAAGCTCCGTTCTCGCAGAGAATAAAAATCCAGGACTTGCAAGCTCAGGACGACACACTTTTTCAAAAACTTCTGTTAAAACATATCGTTGAATTTTTTTGTTGTTGTTACACCACACAGCTTTTTATCTTGTTGACGCCAGGTAGCGTTTGCAGTAGCCCACAGGAAGCCTCGTTTCTTTATACAAGAAAGGTATTACTCAAGTATGTATTATTTTGTCAGTGTAAAAATTTCCAAACAGTAATAAAACGTTTCATGCAGTAAACAGGACCAAAACACTATAACGAGGCATTCCCAAATACCTTGAGAATTTAAATTAACCCATGTCTTGCACGGCAGCTAAAGCAGAAGTGCCCTGTCGGCAGCGTGGGAACCGTCACGGCACAACTGTGGTTGTCGACAGAAAATGAAGGAAAACGGCAATTACCCTAAAAGACATTTCAAGATTCTCGCCACCCCAGATATCCATTCCTGCATCGTAAGTTCCTATCTCTTCAAAGTAGTTTCTGTCAATAGAAAATAGGCCACCAGCCATAGTAGGGGTCCTAGTTGAAAACAAACAGAAAACAAAACAAAAAAAAAAAAATAAAAAAGAGGAAAAAGAAAGAAAAGAAAAAATACCTTTTGAAAGACACTGTGGAATTTATTAAGTGACACTACAGCACATTTCACTACCTCAGACATTTTGACTATAAATATATTCTATGAACAGCAACTTAAATACAAACTACCACCACCACCACCACGGTCTGGGCTGCGGGCCCTGCGCGCTTGCCTTTCGGGCAGCGCTCCCCCCGGCGCCGACGAGAGCGCTGCCCGAGCGGGAACCGCGGGATCGCTGCCTACCCGCAGAACCACATTTCCAGAGACGATTTCAGGAGCACTGTAATGGTAAAGTGGATGGAATTTTGGCCTTCTGCATCCAGAACAGCAGTTCGAATCCAATCTGAAATGCTTGGTGAAGAGAGTTTAATGCCTGCGGCTTTGCCTTAGAGGGAGACTAAATGTGCATAACATTACCAGGCATAAGCTCTCTTAACAGGATTAGAAATCTTTACAACAGGCAAATCCAGTCAGAGTGCAACTTCCCTTTGTGTGGAGATGTCCTGCTTCCCCGTACATATCTGCTCGACGTCTTTTTCAGCATTTAGAGTCTACGTGGAATGCCAAACGCTCACCCCGGTTAGTGGGATCAGGGCTCTGAGCTGCTGCACCAGCGTGTGCCCACCGAGCCACGGCCCCCCCGCACGGTGTGCGCTGCCCGGGGGCCTAAGCCCAAACTGGTCCCCTGCAGATGGGGCAGGCTTTGGTGGAAGGAGTCTGCGGAGGTCTCGGCATCCCTAAGGCCTACCAGCGTGGCCGGTGGGGACCTCCGGGCACCCTAACGTAGCTGCGGATCGAGCCGTGTCAGTCACGATTCCATCCTCAGCGGCAAGAACAACTGCAGAGCGGGCAGGACTGGGTTAACCCAACTCCAGCTCAACGCGAGCGCGACTGCATGCAATCCCGCCGGTAACGCCGGATCCAAAGGATTCGGTCACGGAAATGAGCTCTTCTTTACTAAACTGCTTGTGAAGGCTGCCAGGAGAACCCGATACGCAGCGGCCAGGTCAGGCACCCGCACCTACCCACGCGCGCCGTGGCCAGCGTCAGCACTTAGAATCATAGAATCATAGAATCACTTTGGTTGGAAAAGCCCTTTGAGATCATCAAGTCCAACCTTTAACCTAACCCTGCCATCCCACCACTAAACCCTGGCCCTAAGCACCTCATCTGTCCTCCTTTTGAAGCTCAGCTTCCACAAGGGCGCCTGTGCTTGCAGCCAGCCTTGTGCAAACACCCACAGAAACCGAGCTGCCACCCTTTTTCTGAAAAGCCACTCAACAGCAGCAAACCAGTTCACGTGCCGCAGGGGGCAGGGGAGGGGAGAAGCTGGGAGAGGAGCTCCACGGGTGCTCCCACCCACCGCAGAACCTGCGGCGCTTGGGCACGTCTCAGCTCTTCTTTGAGAAGCTTTTGCATGTGCTACGTGCAAGAGCGAGTCGCTGGCGCACAGCCCTGTTTGCACGCCCGCCCGCCCCGTTACGCTACGGGTGAGCGCGGGTGTCACACACGGGGGCGATGCTCAGGCCGCGGGGACGGCGCTGTGCCAAACCGGGCTGCTCCCGCGGCGGC